TCTGTAATTGGGCGCAAGCCTGTTGAGGGTCCAGAACAAGAGAAGGATTATAAATAAATTAAAAATAAAAACAAACAAGTATAAATTGTGCACAACTCTTGTGCAGATAAAGCGCATTTTTTTTTAACCGAAATAGCTTTTGTTTTGACACCAATGAATATATTTCTTGCAGACGTCTCAATCGCCCTTTGTGAGTACCCCCTTTTGACGATAAGATGTCGAGGTGGAGGGCTATGGTTGGTAGAAATTAATTCCTTCCGTTGAGACCTTTCATTAGAGTACCATGAAGAATAAAACTAGTTCCACCACCTCCCCCTCCTCCCCGTACTTTGATACGAGAACAGAAAGGAGAGTAGAGAGTAGAAAACGGTTCCTCTCGTTTTAATAGCCCCCTCCCCCTCAGGCCCCGTTGCTCGCTGATCTCGAAAGAGTCGTACGGGAAAGTTATAGTTTGTACAAACCAATTTATTTCGATGAGACCTTTCATTAGAATACCATGAATACCCTCATATTTTAAAGTTTAACTTGGCACCACTAAAGGTATGCGTATGCAAAATCTGATACCAATTTTTTTTTTTGGCTTGGACTATTTGTCATTCGGCCAGTCGCATGGTGGTTATTTATTTATGATTTTTTTATAGCCGTATATTTGCTTCTGCTAAGAACTTTATTAGGCATGATTGTCGTACGTAAAAGCCTTTTACTATAAAAACAGCAAAAAATTTGTGAGGCCTTTTAGACAGCGAAATTTGATTGCCGTCTGGAACACCTTCAAGGTATAGGCTACGTACTGCAAAAAATTCCAGAACTCTAGGACCATTCCCCTAGAAGTAGTTCGAAACGGCAGAAGTGGGTCCGGACGGACGGACAAAATGCAAACAATAGCACACTTTTTTTAATTTTTAAAAAATGCGCTAAAAACTTCCCTTAACGTAAAATGTTACTGAGGAGGCTTACGTACTTCGCCCAATTTCAGAATAATTCGGTTTCAGGACTGCACATTGTGGATTTCCACTTCATTTTATCAATTTAGTACAACCAAAAGTTTACGAACTATGCGAAAAGGTTCGGCAAATTAGTTGTAACGACTGTTCCAAATTTATCCCTTTTCTTTCTTTCTGTAACGGGATTTCGCTATACAGGAATTTTTTATTGATAAAAATGCGCATGCTATATTTATAGAGCCACTGTTGCTATATTTACGTATGCATGTAACCTTAAACCTACGAATGTCTGTATTTTAGCATTGAGAGGAAGTTATATTTGTTTCATGTACTTTCACCCGAATTGGGATACTATTTCACCGAGACGAGGCTAAAAGGCAATTAGCAATCTAAAGTAAAAATCGCGGTTAGAAAAGCAAATTTATTTCACATGTAAATAGAATAGCATCATAAATACTGCTCTACGTATGTATATTCAGAATGAGGTAAATTAAATGACTCATTATATGTATTTCAGATAACCGGAGCTCGTTTAAAAATTACAAAAGCTTGTAGAAGAGGCGCGCAGAACTTATAAACGCTTCGTAGTAAGATAGGCGGAACTTAATTTCAGTAGATTCCCATTTTTCAAAATTTACAAATTTTAACAATCAAAAATTTATTTATCTACAAAGTACTGAAAGAGTTCTTCGAAAGGTCCGAGTGTTTTAGAACTAAAAAATATGAAAGACATACGCGAGGTAAAGACAAGGATAAAGTAAAGCCGCTCAAACCTAATTTTACGACCTTTCGAAAAACTTTTCTTTATGTCGGTCCCATAATTTATAATTACATAGTTGATCATTGCCCGGAATTGTGTAGGAATGTAAAGCAATTAAAGAAATGGTTGTATAACAACAACACCATATATGATAGTATCCTAGCAACGTTATGATCAAAATATCGAGCCGTATATACCAAACTTTTTTTTTTCCTTTTTGTTTCTCGATCAATTGATACCGTATATAATCAATTCAAATTATGCACTGCAGAAAGCGGCACATACCTGTTCTTTATGAAGTAGTATTTGTAAGTCGGTGGTGGAGTAATTTTTCCCACCATTTTCTCCTAGAGTTAGTTAAGTATAAATGTTTTTTTATTATACCTGAACTACAATCTCCGTTTTAAACACTTAAATGCGTGCGAAAAAGGGCCTTTAAAACACACGTGCTTTAAAGTTGCTAAGTAACGATACTTCAAGTATGACTTTTAAAACTGTCATCTGGATGAAATAAAAAAATCCTCTTAGGTCGCTTTCTGTAAATGCAGAACATTTCTTTGGCTTTTGTACCTATCCTTTGGTTGAAGCTTTCACAAACGCGCGTAATTTAGGGTATGCTTCCAAATCTGTTCCACTTTTTAATCGCAGCATTGCTTTAAAGTTTTGAATGAATGCACCAAAATATAGAAGATTTAAATACCTTTGACATTTCCTTCATATATGCCAGCATTATGGATGCATTTAAGACTGTATTCGTAACTTCCTATTCATCCATGGAAACAACTTTTCATATTCTTTATAATAGGCTTTACTGGAGTTGGATTTTACACCTACCAACGTTTGTTTAGATTTTACAACAATCGATTTAATGGACGGTGTATTATCTTTTTCAACGGAAATCGTTTAATTCACATTGACGATGATTTTTTAAGCAAACGTCAAGTGACATTTCCATGGCAATCGTGAAATTACGAACACCCAGCCCACTTAATTAGACATGTATTCGAGTATAACGTCAATATGATTTTATTGTATTTCCTATTTTTAAATTATACTGCAGGTATAATCAAAAATACTATAAGATACACGTGTATAATTGGTCTTTAAAGCACTTGCAACGTTAAAGGCACTCCGCTTTGCGTCGTGCCTTTAAACTCGTTGCGCGTGCTTTAAAGACTTGATTATACACTTGTATCTTAATATACTATTATAAGCTTTTTTACAATGGAGAATAAAATTGATTTGATTTGATTTGATTTGATTTGAGATACTCATGGCCGTTTGCACCGACAAATTTAAGTGGAGCTTAGCTTAAGCGTAGCTTTAAAATCCATGGTAACGATTATTGAGACAATGGTTGCCATGGATTTTAAGCTACGCTTAAGCTAAGCTCGGCTTAAATATGTCGGTGCAAACGGCCATAAGAGAAGAGCTATAAATATAAGTGAGCACCAGTGTAAAAAAAAGTGATTCCACAGGCATCTCGGACGTGGAACGTATGCCAGTTGCCTCGCGCAGTCAAACCATTCGTTGTCGTTGTCAAGCAAATCTTCTTCGCAACGATACTTAGAAAAACGAAAACTATACCGAAGCACCAAGTATCATCTCCATAGAGCGGTAGCAGTGCCCGAAAGAGAGTTTCAGCAGCATCTCGAGCACGAGGTACTCGAGAATTTCCATAACAGAAGACAGCGAGTTTGTTTCGTTAGCGATCTGTTCAAAGTCCAAAACCACGCCTAGATTTTGGTCGGTCCGTGTGCGTTCAACTACATCTAAACTCTGGGGGCGGATCCAGACCACTTCACAACGAAGTATGATTTGGCGTATGAATTAACCACTTACCTCACAGCATCGTTTCGCCTCAACTCCCATTTATTAATGTGGCGATATTTTAAGAAAAGTATGAGCCAACTCACAGCTAATAAAGATTATTGAGTTATTGTTTATTTTTTTCCCCTTATCCTTGAGGCCAGATATTAACCGACGAGCAGCCGAGGCATATTAATATATTTTGCATCACAAAAACCACATAATATATAATTGTATTAATATACCTCGGCTGCTCGCCAGTTAATAACCCTCTTCTGGTCTAAGGGGTAAAGGGTAAATAATAAGTCAATAATCTTTATGAAAATTTGAGATTATTTTTTTAAAGAACACATATTAGTTAATTGTGCTTGAGACGAAACAATCCTGTAACGTAAATGATTAAACCACACTCTATTTTTCTAAACATTCTGTACAATAAAATATAACGAACTACCGATAAGTAAACATAAATCTTTTGCAATCAATGTCTGTAATTTTTATACGTAGATAAAGATGACTATGATATCTGCACAAAGCCAAAAATACGTGAGGGATTTTTTTGTTATCAATGATAACGTTATTTGTTTTTAAAATTATCACCCATTTAATGTGATGTAACTGTATAATATTAAACAGGCATTACGCAATTTTGAAACTCGGCAAGTTATCGGACATATGAATCCGAGGTAGTATATTATATTTTAGGAGTTAATTGTGTCCATTGCGTGTAATTGCATAATTTTCGGGTTCGTTTGTTTATGAAATCAGGATTAGTTCTCCATAGATAGCCACATAACACTCATACAACTTTTAAATGCGAAATCAAAGGTTCTGACAATAGTTCAGGAACGTGAAGAACACAACAGATACTAAGATGACGACATGTGCTTTTTCTGACTCGGGGATTTCCTAAATCGTTGTGCAATAAAAAGTAAATAAGGGTTATCGTACCCAAAGACTGAAGGGACAACTCCTCTTAGAAAAATCACCACAACTACAATTGCAAAAAGTGATAAAATCATTCATGTTTTTTGTAGTGTTATTCTTCAAAAATGGTTAATAAAACCATAATACCACCACTGCAAGTTAATTTTAAAAATTACTCACACGTCTAAGAGGTTTTTCAGTTTCATAAACGATGATCATTAATGGTAAAACTTTATCATAAAATGACCTAGAAATAGTTCCTTGGTGCAAGTCTTGTGATCATTCGGAATAAAATAACAAAGTAAGTATGTGCTAGGTATAACCGTTGAGGAAAAAATTTTGCAGTCGGGACGATAATCAAAAACGGGAAAAGTCAATATAAGTCTTATTTGCAAACACACTTCGCTTTCAAATATGATTGTAACAGAAAAACTCATCAATTGGCCGATATCAGTCACATACGTGATTAGATAAAAGAGATTCTTAAAAATCTTCGGGCCATATAGTGAGGGAAGGGGAAATATATACAACATAAATACCCAGACCGTAAGCGATTTACACATTGAAATGCGTTTTGCTAACTGACGCTATAAAAATGGTGCTAAAGTATTTTTCTCTATTTGTGGTGTTGACGATTTGGTCACAAACTTTGGCAGAACCCTTAAGACGTAGACCGACATCATCTGGTGATGGGTTAAGTCAATCTATCGATGTGAGTGCTGATCCTTCTGGGACAGCATTGTCACGGAATCTGGATTCGGTAGAATATCGACCCGTAGCTGCTAATGGAAATCTTGGAATGCGCTCAATGGCTGCTGGAATACGACGAGGAAGTGGAAATCGAGGGAATAGGCCAAACTTTCGACCAAGACCACCGTCAGTGTTTCGCCCAAGGCCTCAGCCAATACATCAACCAAGGCCTCATCCAATCCCTCGGCCAAGGCCTCTACCAATACACCAACCAAGACCTCAACCAATACACCAACCAAGACCTCAACCAATCCCACGGCCTAGGCCTCATCCAATGCCACGACCTGTGCCTCAACCAAGTCCTCAGATTAAGCCTCAACCAAAACCTCAGATCCAACCACAGCCAAAGCCGCAACCAAAGCCTCAGATACAACCACAGCCAAAGCCTCAACCGAAGCCGCAACCAAATCCTCAGCCAAAGCCTCAGATACAACCACAACCAAAACAGCAACCAAATCCTCATATACAACCACAGACAAAGCCGCATCCAATACCGCAACCAAATCCTCAGATGCAACCACAGCCAAAGCCCCAACCAAAGCCTCAGATACAACCACAGCCAAACCCTCATCCGAACCCTCAACCAAAGCCGCACCCAAATCCTCAACCAAAACTTCAGCCAAAGCCTCAGCCACTGCCCCAGTTAAAACCACAGCCAGATCCTCTGCCAAAGCCTCAACCAAACAACAAATTAAACGTGCCCGTTCAAAATAATCAACATTTAGGCAAGGATTTGAAACCCTCGGGACCACCTACGAATTCCGTAAAGGTAAATCATGAGAACCAAAAGGGGGTTGTAGCGAAAGCCGATGTCAGTCACACCCCCGGCCAACCACCAACTGTTAGTGGGGAAGTCAACATCAAAACGCCGGGAAATCACGAGTTCGGCGCAAAAGCTAGTGTACAACCGGGAGTCGGAGGTCAGGGATCAGTGTACGGAAAAGTCAATATCGTTGATGGACCAAAACACAACTTAGACGTGAACATTAAACACGATCGACCTTTTGGCAAGGATTTAAAACCGGGACCACCAACGAATTCGGTGAAGGTGAACTACGAAAACCAAAATGGGGTTGGAGCGAATGTCGGAGTAAGTCATACGCGCGGCGAACCCGGCCAGCCGATTACTATTAGTGGAGGAGCCAACCTCAAAACACCTGGAAATAATGAAATCGGCGCAAATGTCAATATAAAGCCAGGAGTCGGAGGTGAGGGATCTGTATACGGAAAAGTGAACATCCTTGATGGACCAAAGCACAAGTTAGACGTGAGCGTTCAGCAGGATCCACCTTTAAGTAAAGATGCAAAACCCACGGGACAGGCGACGAATTCGATCAATGTGAATTACGGCAACGAAAAAGGTGTTGAAGGGAGCGTCGGCGTCAGTCGTACGCAAGGTGGACCTCTCAAAGGTAACGTCGGTGTCTCGATTCCTATCGTTTCTAAACCGGACGCAAGCGTCAAATTTGAGGCACAGGGTACAAAGGAAGAAGGAAAGAAACCTGACTATCAAATTGGTATCAAAGGCGAGATTAAATTTTAGCATACTGCATGCTTATGAATCGTTTTTGTGGGGTGATGGGTATCATTAGTATATAAGGATTATTTTATGATGTGTAGTTGTTATGTATCACTACCTACCACTTTTATTGAAATTATTTACTTTTAATTAAAAGGCTTGTAGCGTATATCACAGTGATTTTATCTGAATTATTTGTAATTGTTGGTGTAGATAGCAATATCCTAGGCAATATCTATACGAGAGTGAGCAGTACGGTATGCTGGTATAAGAAATTTATACGTGTACCACTTCATTATGAAGAAAACCGGACTTATATTCGAGAAATAAGGCGCGTTAAGATAAGGGTGAGTGTTTAAGCAGATAAGAGTCGAAAAGGCTCTAAAAACCGTCGCTACAAAGCATACCTATACCTTGGCGTGTATAAAATTGCGTGGACGCGTTGTTTACGTTGAGTCCCTTTCGCATTTGGATACGGCGAGGTACTTAAGTAAAAACCTGGTGGGAGAGATGGTTCTTACTGAAACCTTCGAAGTAAATCTATGCCTGTCGAGAGCTTTCTATCACATACTGATTTTTAGCCGAATCGTCAGTGCAAATTTACGTATTGTTAACTCGAGAGATTTAATAGATTGCCTAAAACTTTATTATTAATTAAAAGTTCGAACCGAAAGCCGTATAACCGCGGTTTCTGAAAGAATGGTTGTCTTCACAACTGGATATCGTGTCGTGTAGCGAAGGTGGATGCCTTTATAAATTCGCTTCGAGTTGCCAGTACAGACAAGTTTATTTTCTAAAAGAGACGATTCGACCATGACTATAATTTTAAAACGTGGCTATTTTGAAGCGTTGCTGTATTAATAAAAGGAAGCAAATCTTTTCTCGTTTCGATGCATATTTGGATTAAGGTGTTTCGTGTTTAAATTAATTGTTACTACGGAAGCGTTTGAGTCCAGGCTGCATCACCATTCCGTTGCGACATATTTGTAGTTGCAAGTTACGTAAAAAATCCATTTATTAATCAAAGTTGTGCATGGAATTTGTTTATAATAAGTGCAACAAATTTACCAATAAAACGGTTACCGGTAAAAAGGTTAATGACAATTAATTCAAGCTTTTGTTTGCTGTTACAATAAGTTATAATAGTACCTATATTTTGATATTTGTACTTTGGTGGTATTGTATAAAAATAGGAGTCAGCCGTTTTTGTTTTTTTTTGCATAAGGAATTTGCATTTGAAGTCATTTTAATATTCCTGAAGAGGACGCCTTTCAACTTTAAACTTTAAACTGATGAGATGTCTATATTTTTTATAATAAATGCAAAACTTGTTTTTGTAGTGGAAAAAACAGACATCAGGTTTATGGTTTCTGTTTTACGAATCGCACCATAGGTATGTTATTAATAATAATAATAATAATAATAATAATAACACCAGACACAGACACAGACACTAATCGTTACTTGATTTTAATCCGTGCGATTAGTTAACCAGGCTAGACCTGAGTTCTCACAAGAAACACCGACCATAATAATAATAATACCCATTAGTATTCAACCCAAACGCAAAAGCCTAAACAGCACTTTAGACTCACAACATGACACACAACATACTGTAATATCTCCACTCTTAACTCAACCAACCACACAAACACAACTTCCTGAACAAACAAACGCAATAAATACAAGTAACGCAACATGCACTACAAAGACGCCCTCACCCAATAAAGTTACACGGCCTAGCACAGCTAAAAAACACAATACTCTTTCCTCTCAGAAACACACCTCGTTAGCACAACCCACTCGTACTCAACGCAAACGCAGCAACCTTAACAGCACTAGAGGCTCACAAAATACCGTAATGTCTCCACCAATAATGCGAGCAACAACACAAACACAACCTCTAGAACAAAGAAACACCATAAATACAAGTAACGCAACTTGCACTACAAAGACAGGTCCACCCAATAAAGTTACACGTCCTAGCACAGTTAAAAAACACAAAACTCCTTCTTCACATAAACACACCACGTTATCACAACCCACTCGTATTCAACCGAAACGCGAAAACCTTAACAGAACTACACGCTCACAACATACTGTAATATCTCCACCAAAAACCCAAGCAACCACACAAATACAACCTCAAGAACAAAGAAACACAATAAATACAAGTAACGCAACATGCACTACAAAAACAGGTCCACCCAATAAAATTACACGTCTTAGCACAGTTAAAAAACACAATACTCCTCTTTCTCAGAAACAACCCACTCGTATTCAACCGAAACGCAACAACCTTAAAAGCACTACAGGCTCACAAAATACTGTAATGTCTCCACCAATAACCCAAGCAACAACACAGATACAACCTCAAGAACAAAGAAACACCATAAATACAAGTAACGCAACATGCACTACAAAGACAGGTCCACCCAATAAAGTTACACGTCCTAGCACAGTTAAAAAACACAAAACTCCTTCTTCACAGAAACACACCACATTATCACAACCAACTCGGATTCAACCGAAACGTGAAAACCTTAACAGAACTACATGCTCACAACATACTGTAATACCCCCACCAAAAACCCAAGCAACCACACAAATACAACCTCAAGAACAAAGAAACACCATAAATACAAGTAACGCAACTGCACTACAAAAACAGGTCCACCCAATAAAGTTACACGCCCTAGCACACTTAAAAAACACATAACTCCTTCTTCACAGAAACACACCACATTGTCACAACCCACTCGTATACAACCGAAGCGCAAAAACCTTAACAGCACCACAGGCTCACAAAATACTGCAATATCTCCACCAAAAACCCAAACAACCTCACAAATACGACCTCAGGAACAAAGAAACACCATAAATACAATTAAAAAACACAAAACTCCTTCTTCACATAAACACACCACGTTATCACAACCCACTCGTATTCAACCCAAACGCAAAGCCAAAGAAACACTTACACAATAAACTCTATTTAATAAAATTACAGGAATTATTATAATGATATTTTTGTTTTGTTTTCTTCTTTCCTGATAGCGTTGGCTATTGTGGCCATTAATAGCTATGTTGGTAAGTATGAATTACATACTATCCCTAGATTTCCAATGCAGTGTGTGAATATTTTTTTTTTTTAGGACCCTACATAACTTCACCAGACACAGACACAGACACTAATCGTTACTTGATTTTAATCCGTGCGATTAGTTAACCAGGCTAGACCTGAGTTCTCACAAGAAACACCGACCATAATAATAATAATAATAATAATAATAATAATAATAATAAATGTCTTTAATAAGTACGTAGGTTAAATTACATAGAAATGTGTACAAAGGGCGAGATTCAGTAATGGAATGAAACATACATACCATTTCTGCTCTTCCATCTAACCCATGTGATTCCGTTCATTAACAGAAAATACAAAAAAAAATAAAAATAATATATCTAGCAAAAAAAAACCTCAAATTAAATTGTAAAATATCATTGAGAAGAAGATTGTTCGTGCAATAACCTCGACATGGTAGCTAATCTAAATGTTTTGTAAGGCATGCTTTTGATATCCATAGCTAGGGAATTATACCATTTGCTGATGTTGTAGGTAAAAGATCTTTCATACATAGCTGTGGCGTGCGAGGGAGGTGTAAGCAAACCTTTGTTTCTCAAATTTAGCGTATGTACATCAGTTTTGTATTTTAATTTGCGGTATAAATAGGTGGGTTGATTATTAACTAAAATTTTATAATACGTGCTAGCAGCATGTCCAGCTCTTCTATTATGCATATTTAACCATTTTAGATCGATCAACTTGTGACTTACATGATCATATTTCCTCATTCCGAAAATCAATCTCACACAACTATTTTGTACTTTCTGCACACGTTTGTTATCAAAACTAGTTAAACAAGGACCATATACTACATCCGCGTGGTCAAATTGTGACAAAACCAAAGAGGAGCAGAGAAGCACACGAGTAGACCAATCCAAGCAATTCCGCATATGATATATCGTTTTAAGCGACGCATAAGATTTTCTAAGACAAGATGAGATGTGTGGTGTAAATCTTAGAGCGGAGTCAATATCAACACCAAGATTCCTAACCGTGTCAGCTAGTGGTATCAGAGTCCCACAACAAGTTACCTTGATGTCATTCAAAGACTTGAGTCGATCGGTTTTTTTACCAAACAATATCGCCATGCATTTGGTTGGATTTAACTGTAGACAGTGCTTAATGGAAAACTATTCAATGTTATACAAGTCATAATTGATAGCCGCTATTGCTTGTTGAACTTCGGTTGGATAGAAGGATAAATACAATTGAGTGTCATCTGCATAGCAGTGTAATGTAGACGAGGAGGAATATAAGTGCATTTGAGAAACATATATACAAAACAACATAGGGCCTAGTACGGACCCCTGCGGGACTCCATTTAGTACGGTTTGGTAGGAGGACAATTGATTTTCATATTTCACAGCTTGCGTCCTGAACGATAGGTAATTGTTAAGCATTTGTACGGATATATCTGACATCCCGATGTACCTTAGTATTGAAACGAGGAGTTGGTGGTTCAGCATATCGAATGCCTTGGTAAAGTCTAATAGCACCAAAAGTGACAACTTGCCGAGATCACTAGCCGTTAATATGTCTTCAGTTATCTTTAACAGCGCAGTAGTGCAGCTGTGGTTAGGTCTAAAGCCAGATTGGCACTCCGGAAGTATATTATATTTTGATATATGTTCTTGAAACTGAGTAAGCATAATTTTTTCCAGCACCTTGGAAAGTACGGGCAAAACACTAATGGGACGAATATGTTTAAAGTCAGTCACCTCAGAGGTTTTGCGTATAGGGACAACAATTGTTGGTTTCCAGGATGAAGGAAATACCCCATTACGCATGCAGTAGTTGTAGATGTGCGTTAAATATGGTAACAAAAAAGGAAGACATAAACGAATAGTTAAAATATTACACCTGTTATTATTGTAAAATAGCAATAAATCCTTATCAGGTTGTAATGAAGCAGTGGACTGCAGAAAGTGATTATTCAGAGCTTCCACATCAGTAAAATGATCCGGCAAGATGACATTATTATTGGACCAAATATTAAGTTTTCTGATTTCTTGCCACATCTTCCTGCTATCGGAAGCACTTAGCACTGTTTTGTAATAAGCC